TTCAAATAACTTTTGCACACTAAAGATACAAAAGATCTAGAGTGATTTTAGTGAGAAAATACTCTTCAAGAAAGATTTGTAGTCTTGGTGGTGTGAAATTCGTTGTAAACTTTTCATTTGTGAGTGAATACTTCAATAGTGTAGCTCTGTGAGGGTTGTCCTGAGAAATAATAAAACTTCCTAACTTGATCGAGTGGAGCTTGGGGCAAGGAGAAAGTGAACCTTCCTTTGTACACAAGATTGGTTGTATTTCATTAATTTGAAGAAGCTTGTTCTATAAATTGATCTACATGCTCAAAAGGAGTTTGGTAGTCAATTGGTTTGCAATTCTTCCCTTCTTATTTACTTATTGTTATCTTGTGATATTTAAATTGCTTATCTCTTCTACTCCCAAGCAAACTTATTTTTTTACTAATTGCTTCATTATATGGTCACCTAGGAAAGATGATAAATTTCATATTGAACAAAAATGTGTCCATAATTTGATTAGTTTTTATAATCAACCTAATTTACCCCCCTCTTAGGTTGTCTTCGGGCCTTACACGGACGTTGAATTTAATTGATTACATTAATAGTCTAAAAGAGCTGTTTTCTATATGTAAGTGAGTAAGTACTTTTCATTTACTTTTAAAATTTGCATTAGCTACGAGTAGGATATTCTCCGTCCATATGAATTTGCTTGTGTTTTTTTTTTAATGAGAACGAAATTTTAATTGAAAATTTTTTTAAAAAAACTAGCATATATATATATATATATATATATATATATATATATATATGTATGTATGTATATGTGTATATCGATATATATACATATATTTTATACAAATAAAGATATATGCATATATTTTATATATGCATATATATACCCTACACACATGCACACACATATATGTGTATGTGCGTGCGTGCGTGCGTGCGCACGTGCTAGCGTGTGCGCATGTGTTATCCTTGCCTTTTAAAACTGAAATAAAAATTATCTACCCAAAGATTATGCATGTCCGCTGCTTGTGGATATGATAAATTTTGCGTAAAAGTAGAACATGCAATTAGTTATTTTCTCATAAAAATTTGGTAGCATCACGGATATTGTGACTTTGAGGTTACATAAATAAACAAATATTTAAATTCATTTTAGGAAAACCGCATAATTATATAAGAATTAGGATGTGGATACACCTAACATTTTAAGGATATAGGAAATGGAATAATGATCAATAAAGATGAATTGATAGTTGAGAATTATATGTAAATCTTCAACATCAAAATGTATGTGTTGCTATTGTCCTTTCTTTTAATGAGTAGATTGGGTACTTGGGTTTTACCAATCTTGTCAACTAACTAATTGATCAAATGTTAGAATCACAGTCTCCCTCTTTACAATAAAATTGCTATTAGTTATTAATTTCTCTCTGTTTTAACATCTTTACGTCCTCTAAATTAATTGTGATCTACTTATAAAAATTTAGAATTACTTTGCCTTGCACAATTCATGCGGTTTTCCACTGCTAGATTCAGAAGTCCTTAGTCATTTAAAAATAATGGTTTTACTTGTTTAGTGCATTAATGTGTGTAGAAATAAGAACTATAATAGTATATTTACATGTACTGGTTAATTGGATCTTTCCCAGTTAACTCCCAATGTATCAGCAAAAAAATAATTAAAGATGAGTTAGCATGAACAAAAATCATTCTACAACAAACACTAGTTATCAATGTGTCACTAGTTGCATAATATACATTCTCATAAACAAATTGTAGAAATAAATCTCTACCCACAGGCACCAACTCCCTTACGTGTGCAAAATGCAACAAGAAATTACCCATAAAATTTTTTAATTAACAGTATCATAAGCATAAAGTTATTAAACTGAAAAATCTTGAACAATGATAAAAATTGTTAGGATAAGAAAATATTTTCAAATTTTGTGGAGAATTAGCAATAATTCTTTTTGGAATTGATTAATGAAAGTCCATTAAGGCATCCATTATAATCCTTCCTGAGATTCAACATAGACCTAAAGCCATACATTTCTTTAATTTTTCGTACTCAGTTCACTGAAATCCATTTCAAAATCAATAAACCTACACTAAACCTTTGATTGCTTATGTTTAGCATTTTTCAAATTTCTATTGATGTTCAAGAATTAAAAACAGTGCTAAGGATAGTATCAATGATAAGAGACATATTTTCATTTTTTTTTCAATAGTTTTAAATATGTACGTGCAATTTACGTGGCTATTCCATAAGTTTTTCTTATTTTTCCTTTAAATATATGTCTTATACCCATTAATTCTTACCACAATAGGGAATTATATGAGTAAGAGGTAAAAGAACAAGGGCTGCATTCAGCAATACCCCCAAAATTAGGGAAGAATATTATTAGTCGACGCGAGTAATTAACAATATTTAATTTTTAAGTTTAAATTCAAAACATGTATAGAACTTTTCTGGTTAACCAAGTTACTACAACAGTAACCACAACCATAGAATAAAGCAAAAGTTTGTATAAGAGAAAAGGAAAATAATCCACTAAAACTTGGTGAGTTTCAAGAGAGGTGCAACTATTGCAAGAACTATTTGCTAAAAGGTTTTGAAGTTTACATCTACAAAATCTTCTGTGGTTCTGCTTTGTTAGATGTTATGATATGTAGATTTTACTTGATAAATTAGAAGAAAAATAGGTTCCAATTAAGTAGCAAAGACAAGTCAGATCTATGTCAGAGGATGGTTGATATGAAAAGTTAACACAATTATAAGTGATGATGAATTCATATCCAAAGTTCCATTAGTAGTAATTCTTTTAAAAAGTTAGACATGCAATTAATTATTTGATTATAGAATTAATTCTGGTAGCATCTGAGAGAAATTTGTAATTTTGAGAGTTATAAATGCAATAAATATCTAAATTTATACTCTTTATCCCTTAAAGGTTTAACAAACTAACTATGTATCCAAAACATATCAGGTATGCGTGTCTAAAACAAAGGGACACGGGAAATTTTTTTTTTTTTAAAAAAAAAAGGTTAGAAAGAATTGATATTTAGGAATTATCAATAATTTTCAATATCAAAGTTCAAGTAATTTTCTCATTCTACTTTCTCTTAATGGGAAGATTGGTAAGGTACTTGGCCTTACCAATCTTATGGTCTAACTAATCGATCTCATGTTAGAATCATAATCTCTTTCTTTCTAAAGTAATTATTTCTCTCTCTTTAAGAAGTTTACATCCTCTAAATCAAATTTTAATTTAATTTATTTATGACTCAAGAGGTATCTAATCTTGTGCTCCCTCCATCCCATAAAGTAAGTTTTATTAGGATCAATATATAGTTGTATGTAAACCCAAAACAATAGCAAGATGAATCAAAACGTTTGCATGCAGGAGCTATTGTTAAGAACGATGAATTACTATTTCATTAACAGCATTTAACCAACCTGGCAACCAATGATTTCGACCCCGCATTGGAGATAAAAATGCATTGAACCCATATGAAATTTTACCATGAGTTCGATTAGGATTTGCTTCTCTCCAAGGTGCCAAAGGCAAGCATAACATCATTAATGAGATATAATAGTTTCTTTATGGTCTAACATTCTTGCCAATACATTCTTTTCATTTTGTTCTGGATTGTAATCTCTAATGAAAAATATAGTTCCATGGACAAAATCGTCTGTTTATGACGCATCTTGTAATGTATTGGCGATGAGTATATAATGCAGTTTGAATAGCAAAATTTTTTGTGCTATGAATGAATATACAGGTAAAGAGTACATGTATTGAGTTATCAAGGAAGTAATAATACCAAAAGAAGTTACAGCAAAACTTAATTAAAAATGAAGTGAATTATTAATTGTATAACAATGACCCTCTGCTCCGCGTCCCAATTAGGGGTGGCAATTTTCGACACGACCTGAAAGCACGACACGAACCTAACACGAAATTAATGGCTTTGGGTTGAGGTTTCGGGAGTTCGGGTCAGAATCGGGTTGAACCCGATGAACCCGAAAAGAAAGCAGGTCGATTTCGGGTCAACCCGTGGTGACCTGATATGACCCGATATGACCCGTTTACGAATTAAAAATAATTTAATAAACATAAAAATAATTTTATCTAACTAAACTAAGTTATTCTTTTTTTCCAAAGGCATTAATTACTTAATCCTAAATGAATTTATTTAATTTGTGTGAAGTTGAAATTATTATATTTGGATAAATATTATTTTTTGCTTTTATACTGTTTTAATTTATTTTATATTTTGTTTGGGATAAAACACTTTTACGGTGTTTAATTTATTTTAGATTTGGTTTGGAATTACTTATTTTAAATTTTTATTACTTGATTATGTAATTAGTTTTGCGAGAAATTGATTTTATTAAAAATTACAGTAATAAATTAAAATTAAGTTTCGAGTTATTTCGGGTCGACCCGCCAACCCGAAATTTTCGGGTTCGGGTCAGCATACCTGATCCGTTACGGGTTGACGGGTCGGGTTCGGGTCAACAGATTTTCTGACGGGTCGGGTCAGGATCCGACCCGCCAACCTGATTTAGACCCGATTGCCATCCCTAGTCCCAATCATCTCTTGAAGGAATATGTATATCTAAAAGGTCGAAACAACTAAAGATTTAGACCATCACGTACTATTAAATTTCAAAACTATCGTTTGTATTTTTCACATGATAAGATGTATTTTATGGACAAAATAATATAGTAAAAAGTCACAAACAAATAAATAAGGGAGTGTCAATAACATTTCTCTTGTTCCTATTTTGCATTTCATTTTTTTTTTCTTTCTCGTACTACTACAATACATTTCCTAATTTTATACCATTTGTAAGTTATGCAATGAAGTTTCCATGAATTGGCACATTAACCCTGGGCAGATTTTAACAAACTGACTATTATACCACTTCTGTGACGTGAAAATCAAGTGGGATTAAATTAAATTAAATTAAATAGTTTAGTTGCTGTATTGACAAATTTTTCCTCGTACAAAAGTTTCCTTTATTTTAGTTGGGGAACCTCAGCTGCTGCCGGCTATCGGCGAAGACCACCAGATTGAGTACCACCTATTCCTACTGATTTTGCTCCGCCAGAATCTTCAATTTCCCTTGAACCCAAAAGATTATATATATAGCAAAATGCGTTGGTCCCCTTTTCTGGGGATCCCACTTGTCATTGCTCTCATATCTTTTCTCTTCTTCAAGATTTTTCCGCTCAGCTCATTGATTAGCAGCCCACCACCATTACAGCCTGTAAAGAATTTCTGGGTTTTTGTTACTTTTTTTTGGGTTTGATCAGTATTCTTGTTCAAAAAGATGCATAAAAATGCTGTCTTGATGTTGATTTCTTGTGCAGAGACTATTCAGTGCAGAAGAGCTGTCTTTTTACAATGGCTCTGATCCTCAGCTGCCCATATACCTTGCCATTGTTGGGTAATTAATTAATCTCCTTTTTCTCCGGTTGATCAAATTTCTATTAGTTCTTGTGTTTTGTTGAGTTTTTTATGGTTGGTTTTGTTGGGAATTAATCAAAATCAGGTCAGTGTTCGATGTAACAAAAGGAAAGAGTCATTACGGTGCTGGAGGGGGTTACAATCATTTTGCTGGAAGGTATATTTATTTTACATTTTGTGTTTCATATTCTTGATTCTATAATTTGCTATGTTGAATTAGTAGTTTTTCAACTTGTTACTGTATTATCCAATTGCATATTTTGGCTCGAGTCGTCAATCTGTTCAAAATATTCAAGTGTAGAAGCTGTATGAGATTGATGCATATGACATTTTTAGTATGTTTGAATTCGCTTTGCTACTGTTCTTGGTGTGTGTACTAAGACCTTTCGCTCTGAAAATTCTTTTATGTAGGGATGCTTCTAGGGCATTTGTTTCGGGAAATTTTACAGGTATATAGTTTGTTAAGTAACAATTTAATAACTTTGTTGCTCTGAGGTGTACATGTTTGTAAGTTGAGAAGGCCTTTGATTTGAACAGTGGTCGTGGAAATTTAGCCGCTAGGTTATTGATGTGGTGAGTTAGGCGAAACAAATTTTGGCATTCATTTGATCTGCTACTTGGTAAGATACTGGAGTTCTGCAATGAATTCTGAGTCTAAATTTACAATCTGTGTGGGTTAGAACTTAACCCAGAAATGTAAATGACTTAGGGAATGGAGGTTGGAGTTGCACATAAGGCATTTACAAAAGGCATTGTTTTCAATTGAGCTTGACTTTTCTCATATTATTTTACTTTTCGCAGACATAAGTCAAATTCTTATGATTAAATTCTCATTGCAGAGATCTGTTTGGAGTAGTGATTTTGTTCTTTCCTGTCCATAAAACTTCAAAAGCAACATGCTTTTGTAGTTCATTCTGTCTATATGTAAGTGTGTTTAATAATTATGAAAAGGAATTTGTTGATTACAATGATCTGACCACATTAACAGAATTGCTACATTAGTCCAAGGCTGTCATTATGGCAAATTAGTCCTATTTCTTTCCTATACATCATCTTTTTTTCATCAAATATTTGAATATAGATTCTTGAATAGTACTGGAGGAGTAACCAGGATGGGTATTTATTGAAGTTACTAATGTGTGTGACACCTGTAGAACACTGTATTCCAAAGTTCATTTTGTATATATCCAGCATGGTTGCATGCATATGCTATAACTTTCCAACTTATTTAGGCCCAAAAAATTGATGTGATGTTTCTTTAGGCAAAATTAGTGCACGCCTGTTGCTACCAAAATTGCAGGAATTTGGGTGGTCTGCAATGGCATCCATTTTCCATTGCATCACTACCACTGTGAATTTTGGGTGTGAAATTCTTATCTTTCCTATGCTCAATTCCAGTTTTTATTTCTTGTTGATTATTGCTCGAGTTACTTGTGCGCTTCTTTTCCTTTTTGTGAATTACCTATCATTTATGCTCAGGGGATGGACTTACTGATTCACTGCAGGGTCTATCCAGTCCTGAGGTAATCCAGTGTACTTTTTTTTCACTGTTCTCTTTTTGTGCTGTTATTGTGATTGCTATCTCTACATATTATCTATTTGTGTGTCAATAGCTTTACAGAACTATATCTTTTTCAAAACCAAGAGTCATTGATTAAGTTATATCTTTCTTAATTGGTTATAATTTCAATGAAGTTGGCTATTGGTCTTGTGAGTTGGTTTTCTTTTGGTTGTGTTAATCTTTATGAACTTATCTCCTATGCAGTCCATCTGCTGACCCTTTAACAACTATTTTGCATAACAATGAAGTCGCTATACTTGTACTAGTTGCAGTTGTCTGCACAACTTGATCTGATGACATCTATGAATATAGTGGAGTTTCCTTTACTAATCACTGTAGATGAGCTTGATGGTTATCTTGCATTTTCATTTGTGTAGGTTAAAAGTGTTGTTGACTGGCGTGATTTCTATTTCAAAACTTACATGTAAGTAATGCATATCAATGCACTTTTAAATTTACATTTTGGCAGGAAATACTATCTCCCCTTGGTGCATCTCCCTCCCTTCAATGAGCCTTTCCTTTCATAATTTTGTATAGCTTTCCCTTGTCTAAACTTGACGAGGGCTTCAGGGAAGAGATGTTCTCAGTAGATATAGGATTTGGGGCTCCATAAAAATGACACAGTTATATAGTAAAGCATCTGGTAAAAAAGATCTGAATTCTGCTTTAAGCGAAAGTTCATTGCAACTGCAATAATCTACTGTCTTTTTGTACATTAGTACCAGACATCTAACGCTGCTTCTCATACTGTGGTCGTGCGTGCAACATATTTTGTATGATTCTTCTCATCCCCTAATCAACCATGAATCTCTCCCATCTGCAAACCAAGATTCTTTTTCGCTTTCGTGTTCGAATAAGATAAGATATTCTAAAAGTATTAGCCTTTCTGTAAATCTTTTCAAGCTTGTTACTTGATTGAGCCAAGTGTACTAGAAAAGTTCACCTGCAATTTCTTGGAGGGTCCCTAGCATTGTTTGCAAAATCAGTTGAGCCAACTATTTCCAGTCATACATACCTAATCTGTCTGTGTACTGCCAGTCATGATCCCCCCCGCTTCCCCCCCCCCCCCCAAAAAAAAACCAAATTCGGAAAAAGGTCTGAAATGATAGAAAACACTTATTTCAACATGTTTGCCCCCAGCACGCTTTTTCTATATCGTGAGGAGTGAAAAATGATTCTGAGTTAAAAAAGTAAGAATTAAGGACTCGAAGATTGTGAATATGGATTTTGAAAAAAATTGGCTGTCTCACTAGGATTGTTGATAACTCCTATTTGAAAAGTTTTGGTTCATAGGACTAAGGACATTAAAGATAGTTGGTAACTAAGATGTCCTCTTACTAGATATGAGGAATTTCTGTCAGAAACCTATATGGACCACCAAAACTCCCAGAGGAATTGATTATTTTACATGGAATGCAGCGAGGGATAGCCAGATTACTAAAATAGATAGTGGAATAAAATATACCTTTTGGATATTTTATTATGTGTAATAAGACAGGGGAAGCACATATTACCACGTAACTCTAAGATGGCAGCCTATTGTTGAAATTTGGTGTTTATTCTGCTTGGGATATAATAACTATGAGAGCCTACTCAATGGCTGGGAGCTTAAAAGTCAAGCCGAGTGCAGGAATATATAGTTTATAGTCCATGCATCATTTATGAGGACCATCTAGAGGAATCAGAATAGACAGGAAGTGAACAATATTGAGAATCCATGACTGATATTAGAAACTTTGCTCTCCCTTCTCCCTTTGTAAAAAATTTGGATGTCTTTCCAAGAATTGTTTCCAATTTCCTTGGACAGAAAATTTGTTATTTAAAATATTCAGTCCATTTAAACATCTTGTCTCATGCACAAAAAGATGTAGTGGTCTGTGTTCCTACCTTTGCTGTTTGTTCTGTTAATTCATCTGAAAGAGAATATTGTTGCTCTTTCTTCAAGGTAGACTAAGGATGGTTCATTTTCAGAGAAAAGCATTTAGAGAGTACTATCATTCCAGATAATACTAAAAAAAATGCTTGATGAATGCACCATCATAGTGATGATGTTTAAGGTGAAATTAGTCATTCCCTCATCAGGATCTTTAAATTGACTTGTTGCATTTAGAGTAAGATATTTTTGATAATGGTATGCATCCTTTTAGTTTCCTTTATATATAAAGCTAAGGTAACTCTTGATTTTAGATGAAACCTTTGGAGAGAAGTGCTAAAAGCATGGTATTCATCAAAGTTGGACTGAATGCTGCAATGCACCTTTAGTAAAAATATAATGGTTAGATTGGATTGGGACTGTTATATAAACTATGATTCAGGGAAGCATGTTAATCCAGCTGGTAGGTGCTTCAAAGGATTTAGTATCTCAGGCATCATTCATGTGTTCATAAAATTGAGGTTTCTATTGTATAGCAGTAAGACCATTTGTGCATGGTGTAAAGAGTAGTCTGTTACCTCAATAACAACTTAAAGATGATTGTTTATCAGGATGTTAAGGTGGATGTGTGCTATAACAAGTATGGCATTTTTGTGCTAAGGTAACTACATAAAAGTAACTAAACAATTAGATAGGATGAAAGAATACCGTTCAATACTTTAGTTACTACAAGGAGTAAGGATTACCGTTAAAAAGTAAAAGAGTAGGATTAGATGTCTAGCCAAAGCCTGAGAGAAAGGTAAACAACAATAACATAAAATTGAATAGTTAAAAAGTGTTTGATAGAAATGTGAATTCAAGAAAATTATGGACTTCAGAAGTGGAAGAACAAAATCAGTAACCAACTTCTACAGTAAACAAGTTTGGCAAACAAGTTTTTGGCCAAGTTCTTGTGCTACAAGTTTTTTAACAACTTTAGCTACAGTAACCTCAAAATAATTCTTAAAGTTTTTAAACTATACACTTCAAAATATCCAAAAATTTACACACTTCAAAAAATTTTCCTACAACTTCTACAGTAGGCTACAATACAGTTTTAGACAAACACTCAAAAAACTCATTTGCCAAATGGGGTGGGCTCAATTCTGCCATATATGCAAACATGAAGCATTTAGCATCTATGTAGTTACCTGGTCTTCAATGTGGTAAAACTTTTCAAATCAATTTGTCTTCTGAATCAGAATGGTTTGATGGTCCATCTTCTGGTTATGGGTTTTGAGAAAGAGACAACATTTGTTAGTTCTGGACTTGTTCCAGCAGGTATTGGTAAGTAATGCTATGTTCAGTTGCCCAATCTTCCCAAGTTTCTTCCTGTTAATGAAATTTCAAGAAGCATAGGATCATATGGTTCAAAATGTTCAGATCCTTGTATTTGATAACATTCATAATTGTGGAGTTCTGCAATGCTAGACATTTCCAGCTTATTGCCATCTCTGGGTTTTTGGCTTAAAGACACGCACTAGCTTTTTGACATCCAGTATTTTTCTTTGAAGCTTGTTACGTCATATTTCATCAGCCTTTGCTTTACCATTGCCAGATATGTTGGTAAGTTGGACGGTCGCTACTATGATTCCAAGGGCAACCCTACTAAGTACTTAAAAGGGGTAGAAGCAAAGGCAGCTAGAGGAGCACAGTTATTGGAAAAACAAAAGGATGAAGAAGCTAAAGTGCCTAGTTGCAATTCACGGTGGAGTCAGGATGAGGGTTCAGAGGTGAGCTTTGCATTCTTTTGTTTTGTAATATGTTTACAAATTAAAGAAAAAGGTGGTAAAGAGAAGAATATGTCAGTTTATCTCATGTCCAAATAGATTACATTTCTGTGATGGATAGTGCGGGTACTGTTACCAAGTATAAGATCTTACCCAGCATATAGAGATACAACTTTCCATCTTTGATGAAGGAAATAGGAATATTATAAAATGAGAAATCAAGGCAAGAGTGAAATGTTGGTCTTTGCTTTGTAGTTCAACAGATTAACGTGTCTACTATGTACTAATAAAGGTTGCATATTCATTTCACGCGTAGTGTGATATGAAACTAAGTGCAAGAGTATTGAACTGTCATGCAGGCATCTACGGTTAATGTTGTCGGCTAATTCTTAGCTTCAATCATTCCTGTCAGGTTTGGTGTGATGATGGCTACCCGAGGCTAGTTCAGCGACCAATAGAAATAGCTTTGACTGGGAAAATGAGCAAGCGCTGCGCATGCTACAAAGAAGATGAACTTGAACAGGCTGGATTAGAAGTTTATGAAGGATGCGATTTTTTTGCAAAGAAGTGTAGGATATAGAAACTGTAAATTACTATTCCTGAAATGTTTGCCATGTACTTTAATGTAGTTTTAGAAGGGGAATACGTCCCCATAACAGAGAGAGAGAGAGAGAGAGAGAGAGAGAGAGAGCTGTTCTGCTTATTGAGAATTGAGATGCAGCTTTGGGAATTTGGATATTCTTATTGAGAATTGAGATGCAGCTTTGGGAATTTGGATATTCTTGTACCTGTTTTACAGTTGATGCCTTTGGCATTGTAATATTGGTTTGGTTTATTAATGAGTTGAAATTGCTGCTCTTGACTAAGTTGTAAACGAACTGAGTTCTGGTGGCTTGACATTTTTTATACTTGTCGTCAAGTTTTTAAGTGTAAATTGTCATTTCGTTTTCGTCAATATTTAAAAAAAAATCTTGAAGATTTGTGCTCTAGTAGTAGTAGATTCTTAGTTGCTTGTTTCACATTTATCAGTAGTAATAGGGTCGCCAATTTGCTCTTTTGTTTGCTGGGGTTTCAACATCATAGTCTGGAGTTACTATAATGAAATCCAGAAACAGATCTTGGATTCTAGGCTCTCAAATGGACTAGCATTCTATTTTGAAGATTCCTTTGATTGATTTAGCACAAAGGATCTTCTGTCCCACTTTTTCTTATCCTAATATCTATTAAATTGTCACGTATTTTTCATAAAACATTCTATTTTAAATCTTTTTCTCATCCTTTTAAGTTCTGACAATTACTTTCAAGGTAGAATACAAAAAATAAAAGACTAAATAACAATATATAATAGAAAAATAAAAAATAACAGAAAATTCATTCAAAGCCCATTTTTTGGTTAAATTTTGCTCTTTTTTTGGCCGAATACATAACTCTATACTAAGGAGAGGAGGAACCTGAAAAAATTCAAGAACAATCCGAAAGGGACTGAACCACCACCAACTCAAATGGGGACCTGAAGAGGTTTAAGGACAACTCGAAAGGGACTGAACCATCATTAATCCCAACGGACATCCGTTGACAACATTTCCAGAGAAACTTGGATTTTTTTAGAATGTAGGCAAGGAGATTTAATCCCTTACCTTACACCGAAGTAAAGTTTTAAAACTCTCTTGGTGGCCAACTACTTTAAACACTACTTTAGAAGTTTAAAGTAGTTGGTTGTAATCTTTTATATTTTACTCCGTTAGTAGTTTTAGAACTTAAACTGATAAGAAAAGAAATTAAAATGAGATATTTAAGAAGGATAAATAGCAATTTAATAAATGTTAGTACAGGAAATGATACAAAAAAAAAAAAAAAACACAAGATTCTTTGCCGAGTCAGTTGCTACGCTAGACAAACCGATAAAACTAACTCCACCTTCCCGCCAACTTCCCATCTCTTTCAGGATTCCACAGCTCTCCCTCACAATGAGAATCCTTCAAGACTTGACCTGCAACAACCCAACTATAATCCGATATCACCATTTCCCACTTTCTTTCACCCTATTCAACTCTCCATCCTCTGCTCGCACCATCATCCAGACCCGGTGGAAGAAAAAACCCGCCAACACTGCCCAAACCCGCCTCCATGCCCGTACTCGGGACCCCAAATTGGACCCTCTCACAGCCCATTTTGTCAGGCTCAGCCGCATCCTCAACCTTCACCGTCTCGTTTCAGCCCGAAAACGGGGACCCTTTGTCTCCCTTCAGCTCCTCTCCAGGTGGGCTCCGCACGTTGGCCTCGATACAATCCCTGTTGGAGCGTTTCTCCGGAAATACCCCCATGTGTTCGATGTATTTACTCACCCGATTCTGAGAAATGTGTGTTTTAAATTTAGGCAGGAATTTGTGGAATTGTTGAAGGAAGAGAACGATGTTATACGTGGACTTGAATTTGAGAGTGTGATGAGAATAAAGAAGATTTTGATGATGTCTGTTAATGGCAGTATTCATTTGCATGCTCTTAGATTGGCTAGGAAAGAATTGGGATTACCTGAAGATTTTCGTGAATCGATAATTCAGAAGTATGATCATGTTTTTAGGATGGTAAATTTAGAGGTTGTTGAATTGGTAAGGGGAATTAGTTACAATTCTGGTCCTGATGATAGTGACGAAAATGAGAGGTTCATAGGAGTGGCCGAGGTTGAAAAGTGGAGGGAGAAAGAGTATAGGGAGAAGTGGTTGAGTGAATTTGAGGTTAAGTATGCATTTCCGATGAATTTTCCTACAGGGTTTAAAAAAGAAGCTGGGTTTAAGGATAAGCTAAGGAACTGGCAAAGGCTTAATTATGTGAAGCCATATGAGAAAAAGGAGGTGGTTCGGGTGCAGACTTGTGGTGGGGTTGAGCGGTATGAGAAGCGGGCTGTGGCAATTATTCATGAGTTATTGTGTTTGACAGTGGAGAAAATGGTGGATGTTCAACATTTGGTACATTTTAGGAAGGATCTTGGGATTGAGGTCAATTTACGTGAGCTTGTTTTGAAGCACCCGGGGATATTTTACATGTCTACTAAAGGAGATACGCAAATGGTTTTCCTTAGGGAAGCTTATAGTAAAGGATGCTTGGTTGAGCCAAATCCAATATACGATGTGAGGAGGAAGATGTTGGATCTTATTCTGTTAGGACCTCGTTGTACCCGACGACTCAGGACTGAATGGGAAGTCAGTAATCAGGGACAGGACGTAATTTGCACTGAGAGCAGAAGGAAAGTCAGTGATGAGGAACAGGACATAAGTTGCATTGAGAGACAAGGAGAGGCAAAAGATGGTGATTTTGTCATTCCAATTTTGGAAGATTTTGCAGACTGCAGTCATCAGAACGGACACCAATGATTTCACTGATGTAGTCAACAAAGAGCCAATTAGGCAGCAAGAGAAGGAAATGAATTGGAAAGACAGGTACTGACAGGCAAGTCGGATTTAGTATGTGAGTTTTTACCTAATCAATTGCCAAGTGGGGCTTCTCCTCCATAATTTTACGTGAGGGTTATTGCCCTTTGCCATATGTCGTGACGGCTGCTAAGAATCTATCTGACAGTGGTGGGTGCCATTATACTTGACCTTCCTTGCTTATTCCACACCTCTTTTTATGTTTTAGCATCCTACTTTATATGCATTTTTTTTCCTTGAGCATGTCTTGATCTTTGTAATTTATCACTTTGTAAGATCCCATGCTTTTGTGAGAGTGACATAATTCCAGTGTTTAATCCTGGAAAGGGAACAAAATAATAGCAGTGCAGAGAATATAATCTTCTTGTTCGTGGTTCCTGAATGGCAAACAAATTTTTTCACAGTATTTAGCTTTACACCTTCTGCCATTTGGATGACCTTCTTCCTATTTAATGATTGTTATCCACTTGCTAGATGAAATAAAAATTTCACCTCCTTCCTATTGAGCATTAACTGATCAAATTTGGGGAAAGAGTGGGTTGAATATTCAAGATTAGAAATTGCTCTTTTCAAATATTTGACCAATGATAGCTTCAAGTTTTTACCATCCCATTCATCTGAATCACTGTGGTTAAATGCATTTGATGGTTCTTAATTCAGAAACATTTACTCATTTATCCAGAAATGTCTGGGATGGTGGTCATTCTGGTGGCTGAAAATCTTTTGGATGGATGGTCCTTCCTTTTCTTTCTTTCATTTTCTTCTTTCTATACTCTGTGTCACTTTCCATGTGTTTAGGCCTCGAGGTAAGTCTTTTTTCTCCGTGTCCTCATTTCTCTTTCATATTTCCCCTCCATTCCTGTCTGTTTCATAATTTTTTACTCTGCTTGCTCTTTCCTTTCTTATTTTAGATGTTAGTATGTGCCAAGTATTCTGTCTATTGTCTGATCTATTTGTGCATTTTCCTTTAACATTAGCAAGTAAATACTTGACATGCTTATATACCTTTTTATTATCATTTTTGCAGGACAAAATGGCAGGGTTGCTGTCAGTGAACGAGCTAGTTTTTAACTTTACAGAAGGTTAAATCAACTATTGCCTATCGTAGTGTCACTGGAAAAGCTTTACCGAAGGTTGAGTCAAACTATTGCCTATACTAACGTCACTGGAAAGCTAAGGGCATTGATGGGGGCTGTCGTGTTGGCTTTCTGAAACTTATTTGGTTGGCTAGATCGCATCCTGAATTTGTTCAGATTGGTCGAGCTTGATATGGCTACTGAAGGCTAATTTCAGGACAGTTAGGAAAATCTGAGTATGGGCTGCGCGTATGCTAGAAAGAACTTAAGCAGGCGGGATCAAAGGTCAACCGTTTGAGGAGGATATGTTAATTTTGCAAAGAAGTGCATATTGGAAGTGGTAAATTACTTGACCTTTTGGCACAACAAGTTTTTAAGGATTTGACAGTGAGAGAAGGGGGTGACGAATGCTGTTTTGTCTACGGCTTCGGTGATTGCTGATTGCTCTCAACTGTGGTTCTCAAATTCCTGACTATAAAAGGGGTTACCTTCAAAGAATGTGCCTTGAGGAGCCAGGAAGCTAAGCGCATGCTGTATTAGTGCAAGTTCAACCATCACAGATGAGGATGCACCGTACAATTACCACATTTGGGTGCTTCGATGGTGCTAAGAACATCAAGCTCCATTATTCTATTAGAAGTAGCACAAGCCACTTTGGAAACTGTCACCATCTGTGTGATTAGTTTTCTAAATCTTTTTTCCCATATGAACTGCAGATACAATCACTTTTCAGTGAAAAACATATCTACCTTGCATTACCGTTTTTGGTAACTGCAGTTGCACTTCTACAATTTACGTAATTGATTTTTACAAAATTATATTACCTTGCTGGAGTGGGAATGGCAACGGGGCGGATTTGGGGGGAGGACCCCTCCCCCGTTCCCTTGCAACCCCCGCCTCCGTCCTCTTGCCAAAAAATTCCTCCCATCCCCATCCCACTTCCCCCGTGGGTGGTAATTTGATTTTTTTTTTTTCTAGAAGTTTTTATGCAATATATCAAAACTGAATTCAAAAAATAAAATAAGATACGGAGTTGAAAAAAATAAAACAAGAAAAGTGTTGACATAAAATACTAAAAAAATTAAGAAACTCAATTAGATTGTATGGATACCATTTTGAAATGCTCATAGAATGCATAACATGTTTGTGTCCAATATCGACTAAAAATTTAGATAGAAATGGAATAAAAGTTATGTTTAGTTGTCAAATATTTTAAATTTATTATTATTAGATTATATAATATAATATAATTTATTTATTTATATTAATAAATTGAAGCGGAGGACAGAGCGAGGGATGGGACAAGGGACAATCAAATTAAAATGGGGAGAGAAAAATTGCCCCCATCTCTGCCCCAGCCCCATTACTCCCCCGCGGGCACCACCTGCCCCATTGCCATCCTTATGTTGAAGGGA